CAATCATTATCAAAATTATCGCCAATGAAATCTTGTCCAATTGTTCCGTCACACTCAAAAAAATCGATTGATCATCCATTATTTGATTCAACAACAAGTCTTTTATTTCGACGTTCTTTAAATTTTCCTAAAACTAATAGTCCATTTCTTCGTTCCTTTTTATTCAGTTCTTCTTTAACAACCAAACAAGAATATTATTCAACACGAGTATCAATGTGTGATTCAGCTATTGGAAGTGAGTGTGATTCATTATCACCACGAAGTCTGTCTTCATCATATTCGTCATTTTCATCAACTGATTATTCTGATATTGATGAACAAGATGAATTAACCAAACAGCAATCAAGGTAAATTTCATAATCCATCTCTCATGGAGAAAGGAAAACAATAAGAATATCCCTCTCATCGTTTACCAACGATGCTGACAAGTTAACTTGACAGTTTTTCGATATCTTCCGTATATTTGATAGCCGTAGAAGAATACCATCCTTTCTTGTACTAGTGACGAAAATTCCAGCTCGAAGCCTGATGCAGAGTTCTTTACCCAATCGTCTGACTTTTTCCCCTGCACTTACTGACTACATACTATTCATCTGTTACATCAGAAGAACTAGGCTGTACGTTACAGCGAAGTAAGTATGCTATCAGACGAGTCACGCCTCAACATAAATAATTTGACTAAAGTTAGTGTAGGATTGCTGAGGCTCGAATACAATACTTTTAACGTACGTAATAAATAACATAAATAGGACTATCATGACCTTCAAAGTTTTGGATGGGGTCAATCACTACTAAAACTGTCGTGGATGTACTATAATAACCTTTCGCTTTTTTCTGGTGGGAAAAAAGTGAAAAATTTTGAACAATTGGATGCAGATAAACCTGAGCAGACTCTCCACTTGCTGGTTGTGACACCATGAAACACACTTTGTAATATATGCTTATCTAAAGAGATAACTCACTTACATCTCGTTTATACTTTAGTTGGTCGCCATCGTCCGCTTCAACCATTATTTCAACTTACACTCCTTTCGTAAATATGAACGACACCAAATCAAAATCGTTATTTAAAATACTTACATTACCATTTCGTTTTCTACACAAAGTTGTCTTCCAATCCCCGACTGTATCTCCTATTAGCAGTAGTAGTGACAAAACTTTTGAAGAAATACCAAGTACAGTCTCTTCTTCTACATCTTACTTGTTTGATATTTATTATGCTGGTGACAATAAATGGTTTGATACGAACGTTTCATCATTGTTAGAAAAACATAATATTACTTATTTAAAACAATTACGGTCACAATTGCTATCCGATGTCTATGATATTCATGCACGTAAACAATGTCGTCTTATTTATTATGTTATAACGTCAAATGAACGTTTATCCGATATATGTACGGAATTAGCATTTTTAATTGGTGAACAGAAATTACATGTTGTTATTTGTTTACAATATATGGATGATAATGACCGATTAGATACACGTGATATTAATCGAAGTAGAAAATATTTAGAAGATTTAACAAGAAAAGAAGATGTTCTTTTATTTCAGTCATTAGAACAAAGCTTGCAGCATGTCTTGAATTATTTTAACAAAAAATAAAACGAGTTTGGACAAGTCTGTGTATCAAAATTCTTAACAAGTTTTTGTATGTTGAATCGATTTTGAGTGTGACGGAACAATTGGACAAGATTTCATTGGCGATAATTTTGATAATGATTGTGATAATGATTGAGAAATCTCAGCAGAACTATTTCGTCTATGAAAATCCTGGGAAGATGAATTTTTTTCACATTCAATTTGTTTTTTTATTTCATTATAAAATTCATCATTTGAATTATACATTATTTTATTTGATAATGAACGTATTACAACGACAGATTGTGTTCGATTTGCATCTGTATCTGGTAAACAGGAATTGGATGATGGTTGTTCAGTATCTAAATAATAAAAATACAACAACAACAACATTATTGACGATAACCATATAACAGTAAACACGACTTACAAGTTTCCGAATCATTATTATTTTCATCAACTATTCTACTTGTTGAATCTAAGATGAATGCTGCACATTCTAATGCTACATTAACACTATCAAAAATGGGTATATTTATACTTTTTAATAAAAATTTTAATGCTTTCCGAGCTCGATAAACATTATCATAATCATTGTCGATATGTGGTTGTTGTTGTTCATTTTCATCATTATAAGATTTTAAAAATTTTGCATTTTGTCGATTAATATCATTCATAACGACAATTAAATTTCGTCCTTTTGCTGCTAAATAACTAACTTCAATAATTGATGCTAAAGCTCGCGTATCATGATCAATAACAAAAAATAATAATGGTGCTAATTCTTTTGCATTATGTTCAATTTCAACTAAATCTTCCGTCCAATTATTTACTTGTGGATTAAAATAGGAAACGGATCGTGATTGAAAATAGGGTATTGCTTGATCATGACGCCATGTTGTCGGATTGCATGAACCACCAAGAAATACTTGATAAGAACAATTTTTATTATATTTTCGACTACATTTATGCTGTTGATGATAGGAATATCGTGTTGTTAAAGTATTGAATGAATATTCATTTGAACAAAGTTTTTGTAAAAGTAATAATTGTAAAAATTGAAAAGCATTATGGATACTTGATTTGCATGTGGATTTATCATTTGATTCGGTATGACCAACTGTCATCGAACTCTTCCTTCGATGAACAACTTGGATGTCATCAAAAGATTTTCTTAATATATGAATTTCTCCAGAAAGCATTAAAAATAATTGAACGAAAGGCGAATGGATAAAATAAAATATGCTGTTAAACTACATTCTTTTGTTGAATAAATATCTTAAAAAGAACTTGAATTAAATAAAGTTTGACCTCTTTTTCGAGTAGAGAACACACAAAAGAAAGGCAATAAAAAGTGTATAAACTTGTATTCATTTTTTCTACAGAGATTTCCTTCTCACTGGGATATCAAAATTCTATACAGCGAAAAATTAGACTCATGGGGATTTGAGAAATGGAGTAAAAGAAATAGTCCAAAAATCTATTGGAGTTCACTAGAGTGTGCGTTGTTATCTGAAATTTGATTAAAATGAAAAAAAAAGATGACTCATGGTAACTTCTTTTCACTTTAAGAATTACTGATAAACGATGAAAACCTTGAATCTTAGTCATTTTTCACAGGAGTTAGATCTCTCACACACTGAATTATTGAGTTGATAGCCGTATGTCAGTTGGTATTAGACTTGGATGACAAATGAAACGCAGGCAAATTTTTATTGTCCCCCAATTTTCTCACATCAACAAATCAGAATAATTCTACATTGTCAAAAAAAAGTGTCTTGATAAACCACTCGACTGGCTTAAAAATGCTTCCACAGTGCGTTTTGAAGGCACGTTAGGTGCATTTTCTCCTCTTTTTACTGTGAGTCGCCTTAATGTCTTCGAAAAAACATCTCTAAGTCGTGGCTTTTTTCGAAATAAATAGCTTAGGTGCATTTGATAGACATCACTAATATACCAACACAACAATGTACTAGCTTTAAACAACGCACAATGCACTAGCTACAGTCAAGCTCCTTAATCACCCTTTTGATATGATTTCCATTTATCATTTCTTACAATGTCTTTATCAGCTTTTCATTTGATTCAACATAAATGTTTCATCTTATTCTACTGTAATTGAATCATTTTTAGTTTATTAACCGCTTTACTTTTAATTTGTTGCTTGCGTATTTAAATTTGTCACATGTTAAAATAAAATGTTTTTCGTAGTAGCTTACTTTTATAAGGCTAATTCCGCGTCTTAAACACATCCTCAATGTCTTAAGAACATCAGGATGTCTTATTATATGCATCAAAAATGCACTTGATTTACACGGGAAAAGATATTCAAAGTGCCTTGACTCAACATCCATGATGTCTCACCAATATGCTATGGGTACATAAAATTGGAATCCAGCCGCTTTCGTAAGACGTCGCAGCGCGTCTTTTACGTGGAAATTTCATCTTACTGATCAAAAATGAAGTCATCTTTGACTCGCGTGAAGTGCATTTTTTATTCGAAAATGCACCTATTTTTTCACAGTGTATTCAGGACAACTGTCGAAAAAAAGTGCTGTCTCGACTCCCTTTTCTTTTCTTTTCTTTTTTTTATTAAGATTTCCTCCGAACTGTTTCGTCGCACACATAAATTTGGCATACTCCTGCTCTTCGAATGGTTCTATCATTGCTAAAGAGACTAATATTTTACACGTCATATTCATTGCAAAAGTAAATAATAATTAGAGATTTTAATGTCCAAAAATGATATTTAGCTCGATATATCTTCAAAGAGGGCATAGATCATAGGTGTTTAATGAGCCACATTGAAGTGAATGGAGAAACGATGTTATTAAGACGAAAAGTAACAATTTTCATTTTGACTAAGGATGCGCAACACACAATATAGAGAAAAATTCAATATAACCTGAAGAAAGAGAACGAAAATTCTATCACTGTTGACTTGCTTCTTACCTAGGTTATGAGAAATAAGTTATATAATATTCACTCTAATGAATATATTACGACTTTAAGATGCGTATATATATATAAATATGTAATGACTCTTCTATGTTTGACGAATATTTTTCATTCATGAGTCAAGAGCAAACAAAGAGGGTAGAAACCATTAGCAATAAAAAGAATTTTTGTACTTTTGTCTATACTTGAAGAAAGAAAATTGAGATGAAAATATTCTCAGTGAAGAAATTGTGTTTATTGCCGTTTAAGAAAAACAAAGTGTATGCCGTTATGTTTTAAGAATTGTTTTGTTCCGATAGACGCCTACTCATGTTAATGTTTGGAGATCGTGTTCAAGAATTCTCTTTTCTTTAAATCAATCACTACAAGATGAAATAAAATACGCCAAATTCTAAATGATACTTCGTATCTGTTAAGATCCAGAAAAGACGGAAACGTAAAAGGTTAGAAATCGGGTCACTCTCTTTTTCGAATAAAAGTTGCTTCCTATCAACGAAAGACGTCGCAATATTCAATTCCAGATGGAATCAGATACATTTCTTCACTAAAACCCTGTTAATTTCTC